GGACTGAGACGTATATATAGACCTTTTCCACAAGGGCGCCGCCATCTTGAATTGACGTCACTTCCAGTATGGGCGAAAACGTAACTTTGCCGTTGCCACGCCAATAGAAGACATTTAGGATATAAGCCTAACCGTCACACATTCTCGTTTTGGCTCGCCTCTATTTTTTTACTAGTTACAGGTTGAAACGTTTTACTTTTTTTTCGTCGCCCATACTGGAAGTGACGACGATTCAAGATGGCGGCGCCCTTGTGGAAAAGGTCTATAGTTGGATATGAGGAAGTAGATACGGTGCGTGGAGCTTGTGGAGAGGAGGAGAAGACGTCTGAGCACTTGATACTTTACTGTGAGGGGCTTCACATTGTAGTAGCTGAGGAGGCGACAAGTGCTCTGGGATTTAGAGACAGTGAGAGAAAACTAGGCATGGGGAAGGGGGAGATAAACAAGACGAGATTATCCGACTGGTGGCGTATGTCGAGGGCACCCGATTGTATAGTGGCGCCTCCGTCGTACGGATCGGGTATAGCTTTTAGGAATAAATCTCTAGATATATACCACTATGATAAATTGCATTAAGGCAGCAATTTGGGCCAGTTGGTTCATGACCACCTAAAGAAGCGCAATAGATACAAAGGCGAGGAAGTAGACAGACAAGAGCGCTCTTTTTTTATCTGTTTATCCCCCGTAACAAGAAGGAATACTCATTCACCGATAAGAAGAGCGACGTGTCACTTACACATTTTTTGCCCTTTGCCTGGATTTCGAAGGCCTCAAGCAGTACTCCAGAAACCCTATCCGGGTATCTAGCCAGAAACCTAGCTGGTATCGCCAAATGACGGGGCACATGGGCAACGACTGCAGTGAGTGGCAATATGTCCCGATGTAGTGGCTTTCGTCGCCGCGGCGTGTTCACGTGCACGATCATTGAAACGCCTTCCCTTCAGGCCGATCTAAGACGAGCCGCATGACGTTGGAATATCGTAGACAAGACCCGTGTATTTTGTGCGGTGCCTGGTATCACAGGGATTTTTCGATACAATGGGATTCTTGATCCTACGGCACAGCACCTGGTATCGCAGCAGGCACGTAGCCAGGATTTTGTTTCGGGCGGGGGTCCGCTCAGGACAAAGTGCTGTATGAAAAGGAAGGGGGATAAGAGGTCCCAGCAAAATTGAAGATTGCGGGGGGGGGGGGGGGGGGGGGGGGACCGGGCCCCATGCCCCCCCCCCCCCCCCCCCCCTGGCTACGTGTCTGTATCACAGGAATCTTAGGAGAGAGTATGTGTTAGTTCGAAGCTATATATATGATTGTTTTCACAAATAAAAAAAACAACAGTTGCGAGAGCGCTCTTGTCTGTCTGCTTCCTCGTCCTTGTATATTTTGCGTTTCTTTATATGATAAATACACGGAAAAAAATAATGGCTAGATGGTGCAAGACGCCGGCCGATTCTAAGGGTTCAGCCCCACGCATCCATTCATCCAACGGTGGCGCCATAGCGGCCCGCACGGATCGTATTACGACCAAATTTAAGTGACAGAAAGTAGACAAGAACCGTTTTCTTCATTTCTTTTTTCTTTTTCACGTTGTTTGCGCGCACCACAAGATTATAAAAACGAAGACTTCCGCCGAGCTCTACAAAAGCGGAACAAAAGCAGAACTTTCCGCATGAATATCTGACCTAATTTTTGGGATCAGTTTGTTTCCCGCCATCTTGTCGTCGTATCGAAGACAATTGTATTGTCCAAGGAATTTGTTTTTCGTGCAAGCTGGTTGTAGTTTGGACGGTGTCGTACGCAGTTGCTCGTCGCGAGCTGATGCTTGTTCTCGTCGATTGAATATATTGTTCTCGTTTACATAGAAGAAAAATAAACGCCGCATGGATAACTTTTTCTCGAGGGGTACGTAAATTTTGTTTATTTCTTGAGTAGACGTCCTTCTTGCAGCAGAGACGAAGTTACAACCGCATAGACACAGGTCGAAATAGACCAACCATCTTGGGCAGCTACGCGATCACGCTAAAGGCGCAAAAGACAGTTCACTCTGCAGCCGGCGAAGCGGAGAGAACGGTCACTCCCGTAACTACGCCCAAACGTCCACAAAACGTCGTTCGATCAAGATCTATCCACTGAGCAGAGAGCAGTGAGAACGTCAAAGGACTGGTCTGACTCTAGAGAGTCAGATTGAACCCGTAGACAACGCCGGGCTTCGAGTCAGGGGCGGATTCAAGGGGGGGGGGGGGGTGACGTGGGCGCCCCCCCCCCCCCCCCCCCCTTCTCGGAGGGCAATTTGACATGGGTGGAGCCCCCGGTGCACAAGAAAGAATGGGAGCATAGTATCCTTACAAATTTTCCCGCCCCCACGCCCCTTCCCCAAAAGGGAGTTCTGGATCCGCCCTCCTTCGAGTACATTCATCCCAAATATCGAGCCAAATATCACATTTAGAAATCCATCTGAAGTGAGGCAATGTGAACGGAATGCCTCGATTCGTATGCCTGCTAAGCTTCCGGGGTTGCGACACTCCGGTACGCAACAGTGCCTGGGACACCCGATTGCAATGTTAAGGATGAAAGACCAAGAACGCACAAATCAACACCTTCAAAGCGATTCGTGAACAGCCCCACGAGCAAGCAGGCTGGGGAAAGGGCCTTCTCAGTGTTGCAAATACTTTGAGCTAGATGGCACGATGTGTCACACTAAACTTGACTGCCCCAAGGCTCACAACATGGCTCTTCGCTGCACACAAACCCAGTCTATGATCTCGCCCCCGTAACGCACCCTCCCGAGCGAGCCAGCCAGCCTGCGGCGCAGAGCGAGAGGCTTGAGCGCATGCGCGTGGAACTCCCGGCTGCTCCCTATCTGGGCTGCTCCCAGCTGAGCGGGGAGGGCCGCCATTTTCATTCGTCGCCCGGCGGCAAGGAGGTTATAAGTACTAGGAGGGGCCACGTTGCAATATTGGTGAAGCCTAGTCATAAAAAGTTTAAACGATTTTGTGCCCAGCGTGACCGCAGATCTCTCTGGCGATTGGTGCGCGTGACATGTCACGTGCGAGATGGATGGTTGATTGTAAAAGGATTCCTTGCAGGCTTGCGCGTGCTCCGTCCGGTAGGCTTTATCAGATCGAAGGCTAGACGAAGGCTAGCTACGGTCACGTGATGTGCTGATAAGTGAGGAGAGTAAGGAGGAAAATGAGAAAGAGGCGAGGCGTCGAGGAAGCATGGCTTGTGGAGCCTACGCGGCTGACGTCATGCCCTCTCCTACCCTTCTATCCCCCTTGCCCGGCGGTATGCATGGGATTGACATCCAAATGGACCTTTTCCACATACCAACGGCACCAGGCGGTGACTGCACGAACTAAAAATTGAGGAAGTGACCTACCTGCGCTACCAGTCGATAATGGGAGCTACGCTACCAGTTTCCTCGCTCTCCGAGCTGCAGTGGCCATCCGTGGCGTCCACCCAAACGTCGTGTTTTTCTTTCCATCCACTTTCTTTTTTTTTTTTTGTGTAACACAATTATATACAAGCTGCAATTACGTGTTCTACTCACTGATCCACAGCCTCCTTCCGAATTTCCTAAATTTCTCGTGCCGACTTCCACCGCTTGGCATCGGGCGCTCGCGCGTGCGCAGAACGCTTCTCGGAAAAGGTCCATTTCGGATCTTTCCATTTATTTGGCAGGCTGCGCTGTGGCAAGAGAATGATATAGTGTTACTCCTCGGTGGCTTAAAAAGCTAACGAATGAAGTTTCTCCTTGTTTGAAACCAAACTTTTATTCAGGCGAAAAAGAAATAAGCCCGTAGCAGACGACGCGTAGCCTCAACAGTGCTCGGCGCCGACAGCGTTGTGTCAAAATGGCGGTCGTCTCCTCTCTGCTTCCTTCTTTCCCTCTCGCTCCTTCGGCGCTCTCCTCCCTTACCTTCACTTTTCTCCTCTCCGGCGCCTTCGTCGCCACCACCCACTGGCCAAACTCTTTCAATATACGGCTCTGAACAAACCGTAGATGGGACCGTTGTTATGGGCAAATGCACAGGGGCTTGACATAAGGTTAAAAATGGACCCATAAAAAAGTAAATAATGTCTAGAAAGCATTGTGTCTACTCAATATCTAATCATGAAAACTTTCTCCATCATCACAGCACCATAAAACGATGACGAAAGCCCGTAATAAAGTTTCCCAGCCTGTTTTGCCTTCCTATAGCAGGCGACCCGATGGCTTCGCGGGTTCGATGGTTCTTTCTGCCTTTATCTGCAGTTGGTTGGGTCAAGTACACATGAGCAACGCTACATTTAAACTGATAAGTGTCTTGAGAGGGAAAAGGCGCGGCGCATCCTTCGCCACTTTTACTTGCTTCAGTATTAGCTACTTCGCAGACTTGGAGTACACCATATGAAGGGCAAACTTTAAGTTAAATTAAAATTTAATCTAAGCTCCAGGGGCGACGTTTGCAACTCGCAGCAAGGTGAGAAGATTATTTCTCACAGAGTCACTTCAACGCTAAGCAGGTTTCTGCTTAGCGCAGCTGTATTGTGGACAACCAAAGGAGCCGGGTCCTGCCGGAGGATGTCAACGAACGTCTCTGCAGACACAAGCGAAAAAATAAGCTTTGGACTGTTTACAACAAATCAAAGTTGAACTTTAATTGAAAATATATTCGTTGCGTCGTTTTTCACGCGGTAATGGAGCAAATCTGCATAGGCAATTGTAAATTTATCCTGTTTTATACATTATGCATGTAAATCAGCGAAACCGATTGATCGATTAATTAATGGATTAAAAAGTGGCGATTGATCGGGTTAAAATTTTGAATTGACGCCCGGCCCTTTGTAAAAAGCAACACAAATTGCCTTTTTGAACTAAGCTATTGTTGTAAAAGAAATGATAGGATTCAGCGTGCAGTGCGGGAAATCAGAGATGCGGACTTCATAAACATCTCCCACCATTCGCAACCTTTTACAGAAGTTAAGAAATTCTGGTGCTATTTTTTAACACCCCTCTACTTTTCTTTATTTCAGAATTGATGTAAGATAACACACACTCAAAAGCTGCCGCTAATATGACAAAGGTAAAAATTGTTCCCTAACGTCCGGTCAGGGAAGATCCTCATCCTTCCAGAGTTCCATGACGTCACTGCTGGCTGTTCTAACAGCTATCCATCTTTTCATCCTGGCAATTTGCTCCTCGGAGAAGTGGTTTCTCCAGTCTCCGACGATACCTTTACGTATAAAGTCGCCAGTCATTGGCTTTTTCATCGCAGCCAGCACCGATTCTTCGAAGCATTCCGAAGGATTTTTGGACTTATCATCGGTAGACAAATTGGTCTCGTCCAGTGTGGCATGATCCCTGCTAAAGATTTTCTTCATGGTTTCCATGCTGGACATCTGTATTATAGTCTTAACGGCATGAGCATCGCATCGCAGCTTAGAACCGTAGTCTTTGCCCAAGAAGTCTGCCATCTTCAGCACCCAGCTCTCGGTGTCCTTCTTGAGACCTTCGTAGGTCAAGAAAAGGACGTTAGGGTCACGTCGATGATCGTACCAGGACAGCAGGTTGTCAAAGTAATCTCCAGAGTCCACTTTTCCTTCGAGAAACATGTGGAAGAACTCGTTGAAGGTTCCGGTCTCGAAGAAGTACGCAGGAAATGACTTCGTGTGGTGGTAAAAGGACACGCAGCAGTCATAAGGGTTCCTTGCGATGTATAAGTACTTGGCTTGTGTGGAATAGGGATGTTTGTCGAACGAGAAGTGCGTTTTGATGGAACCTGGACGGCACATATTCTTAACAGCTGGGCTTCCGGTCATTTCGAGGAAGATCGACCTCGAAAGGAACTCTCCCATGTTCTGTGGAGGAACACCGCCACTGAAGATGTTATACACAAGGTACTGCATCCACGTGGTCCCACATTTGGGATAGCTCACTATGAACACGTCTTCTGGCTCCGGTTTGTATTTCAGTGCCGAGCGCATGTTTTCATCGGTGAAATAGAGGCTCGTGTGTATCCCTTCTATGTATCTGTAGACTGGAGGTGGCATATTGACGAAATGAAGAGCGGACAGCAGTGGTGGGGCCTGTGGTACGAGCTGCGACGAAAATAAAAACAAAGGCGATCTCAGTTTTACATTTTCTAACCAAGCATGGGTTGTTACTTACCCTTGTTACTAACATAAAACATGCGCAGAAACACTGCACGATGGTGCAGCTTTGATGCTGTCCTGCGCAAATTTACGCTGTGTCTATTGGTAAAATTAGTGTCACGTTTAGCTCGTTCACTATCCTGCTGAACAGCACTCCTTTGTGTCGAATATATATTATATTTTGACGTTCATAATTGGGGCGGCTGAATGGGGTAATAATTGCAACGCTCTGCTATTTTTATGGATAAACCAAAGTGATGCATTTAGAGTGACGGCACCAAATGTTCGAGAGAAACTTAATTGGGTTGTGCAGTGCTTCGGGAAGCTGGATTTGTCCAAATGCGTCTTCCACTTATGCTCGCGTTCTTCTTTCCCTATTTTTTAACATCAGTTCCCCTTTGACACCCCCCCCCCCCCCCCCCCCCCCCCCCCCTGGGAGTTTGATGTTTGTCACCCTTCTCTGGGGATGAATTCCTTTCGCCCTTCCTCGCAGTTTTGGCAAGGAAGAAATAAGGATAACCCGCCTTGTACAAGGCCAATATTATGTCAACTCCAAACGGCATGTGATATGTAGATGGCTTTTTCGACTGTGCATTTTCTTCCGCCAATTTTACTGGGGAAGCATGCCCTGAAATTTGCTGAGTCAAGAGGACCATTACAAGCTAAGACTCATTTTTTTTAGAAGCTTGACGTGTGTCTTTTTGTTTTCGAATGTCAGTCCTGAAAGACACCAAGAGAAGCTATATAATTACAAACGGAACGATGCAGTGCGTGACAATAGAAGTTATGTACTTTTCTCGTAAACATTTTACCTATTTAACAAAAAGGCTGATATATCATAGAAATCGTCGCTTTAATGTGCTTGAACGATCAGGTTCTTGTGTTTTTTAATATCTCGTAACATATTACAAAACGTTTCGCTGTGTCAATATAATGTCCCTTTACAACCCAATGGCAACATATGTTGCCCAAAAGGAATTGATATATTACAGGTCATGTGTAAAGGGCAAAACTTTGAAATCCCCAACGGCTACAGTACGTGCCATTCTCCTGCGCTTCAAATAACTCCCAATAGATGGCGCAAGGCGTCCAGAAAAGTGCGAGCGGCAGAAAAAACAACGATGCCCTTCTTCCACGAGGTGCGGCTCGCCGTATGCCTCCCCTTGTTTTCAATATTTTATTCGTGATAAACCCTTTATTTTGTATAAATTACTTCTTTTCATAGATAGGAATCCCTGGCAATGCATTCTACATAATTTTAAAGGGTAAAATGTGCAATAAAATTTGCACAGAGCGCCTGTAGTCTTGACAGCGTCCACCTGCGTTGCCGTCGGGAAAATGGTGTTCTATATTCTTGCTCGCAGAATTCACGGTTGCGTGTAGGTCTCTTCTGTGATATATACGTCATAAAACAAGTGTGTCTGCGTATGCACACACTTTAACAGTGCTCTCATAAACAATTTTTTTTTGTGACAGGCGTCAACCTGACAGGAGGGGATATTCAAGCTATTATTTTCGACTGCCCAAGTGGTAGCGAATGTTCCGCGTTGGACAACTCGGATGATGACTAGTGTGGAAGCCCCAGCCAGTCAGGGTTCCTCCGACGCGTATTCATCGGACTCATTCGACACAGATGAATCACAAGTGCAGGAATCAACAACTGTGAAGAACAAGGTAAAAAAGACATGGCGCTGGGTCAAAAAGACTTGTAACTTAATGAGGGCTTTCAGGACAAGTGAACATAATTCCATAGGTGAACGCAGCAGAATCGAAAGCACCACTGAGTTTGTTCACTAAGCTCGTTGATGAGGATTTGATAGAACATCTCACGATTGAAACAAATCGCTACAGGATCCAGAAGTACAAACCGAAGGTGATGCCCATCACAAGCAAGGAAACAGACAGAAAATTTATTGGGACGATTCTCTACTTGTCCGTAGTGTCCTTGCCCAACAGGCGCCTGTATTGGTCACGGTTGCTGCGCCAGTCAGGAATTGCCGAGTGCATGCCCCATAATCGCTTCGATGAAGTAATTTCCTTGTTCCATGCAGCAACAATGACGACGAAAAAAAAAAAATCAAACAAAACAGGACGGCTGTGGCAGGCTCTACAAGATACATCACAACCTTGACCCAGTCAATAAGAAGTTTCGGCAAGCCGCAGAAAAGGAGCCCTGCCTTGCAGTGGACGAGATGATGATACCTTTTAAGGGTAGACACCAGCCCGGAGGTTTATATATTGAAAAAAGCCGAAAAAGCGGGGTTATAAAGTTTGGACACTTGCTGGAGGGTCAGGTTATGTCTATAAAATCCAGCTTTACAGTGACAACCGTGTTGTTGACACAGAAGACATTTGAAACGAAATTGGTGGAAGTGGAAAGATGGAAGTGCAACTTACTGATTGCTGTGAAGGAAAAAAATATTCTGCGACAACTTTTTTGCCTTAGTTGAACTTCTAACTGAAATGAAGCGCTGTGGGCTTGGATGCACTGCCACTCTGAGGAATGGAAGGATGGGGCGTTGCCCACTGAAGAACGAAAAGTACCTAGGCCGAGCTTGGTCAAAGTCTACAACCAGAGTATGGGCGGTGTTGACCGAGCGGATCACCTTCTTTCATTCCACCGAAACAAACTCAAGAGACAAGAAATGGTACAAAAAGATAATTTATCACCTGCTTGATCTTGCCGTTGTAAAGAGCTGGCTTCTCTACCGCGCGGTAAAGGGCTCCCAGCTGCAGCTTGCAGAGTTCAAGCTGCAAATGGCAATCGGCTTGATGGAGGAAGAAGACACTTCTGAAGCCGACCTCGAAGACAGTCGGTTCAACACCCTGTCGAACTGAGCCTCGGACATTCCAGATTCGGTGAGATACGATGGTGTCAACCATGTCCCGATCAAGGTCCCGTAAAGAGGGCGGCACGGCAGCAACGCATGGAGCACGATGCCTAAAAACCTCTTCTTCATACCGCAGATTCTGCTGCTACTGCATCTTCCAGTTCATGAAACCGGGACGACAAACCTGCACGTCACCCCCGTTTTCGGGGATGACAAGAGCATCAACAACTGCGCATGGATGAGACAACGACACCACGGGACTGTGACGTCACCATGGGAGGTTATAAAACCGCAACGCCCGGCAACTTGGCTCAGAGGGCGGCACGGCAGCAACGCATGGAGCACGATGCCTAAAAACCTCTTCTTCATACCGCAGATTCTGCTGCTACTGCATCTTCCAGTTCATGAAACCGGGACGACAAACCTGCACGTCACCCCCGTTTTCGGGGATGACAAGAGCATCAACAACTGCGCATAGATGAGACAACGACACCACGGGACTGTGACGTCACCATGGGAGGTTATAAAACCGCAACGCCCGGCAACTTGGCTCAGAGGGCGGCACGGCAGCAACGCATGGAGCACGATGCCTAAAAACCTCTTCTTCATACCGCAGGTTAGTTACGACTCATACACTAAATGCTTTAAACCAAGTTCATACTGCTTAGTTGTGCTGCCGTGCCCCAGCCAATGTGTGAAGTGTTTAAATGAGTGTTGGTTGAAGTTGTGTCTGTTACTCGGTTGCGATATTGAGAGCAACCCTGGTCCTGACGATCTGAAGGAATTGGTACAGAGCGTGCTGCATGAACAGAGTAAACTGTTTAAAGAAGTTCTTGAAATAAAAATTTATTGAGATAAACACCAGACTCGATCAGTTAGATGAAGTTGTTAAAACTACCAGGGAAACTGGGGGAAAACTAGCTGTTCTGGAGGGCACAGTGCAAGAACTTCAAAGGGCATTGCACGAGCAAAACAGAAAGCTTGTAGATTACGAAGATCGGTCTCGTCGAAACAACCTCATTGTTTTTGGACTTCCTGAACAACGAGGTGAAACACGGAACGACCTGGAGCAGAAGGTTATTCACGAAACATTTTCCGCAAAGCTAGGTGTAACCGTGTCATCTGTGGAGCGCATTCGCAGGCTCGGTAGGTTACAAGAAGGAAAATCGAGGCCCGTTATACTGCGGTTGTTTAATTACAACGAGAAACAGGAAGTTTTAAATAACTGCAAAAAGCTAAAAAACACCGGCCTATCAGTATCCAATGATTATTCCCAGAGCACTCTGTCGAAAAGAAAAAAGCTTTGGTCATCTGTACAGGGCGATAGACAAGATGACACCAGGGTCAGACTAGTGCATGATAAGCTCTTTGTAAACGGAGAAGTGTACACGTGGGATGATGAAACAGATTTTAGAGTGAGGCTGAATGCCGCGAGAACATCCCCAAATAGCGGGGAATGACGCAATGATGATTTTCAACAAGCCAGAGCCAAAACCCAGCTTCGTTTGATTTGTATTAACGCACAAAGTGTTGTGAATAAAAAAGAGCGTCTCGAACATGTTCTAATGCTCTATGACCCGCATGTCGCGGTGATCAGTGAAACTTGGCTTAGCATTGATATCCCTGATTGTGACATCTTCCCTCCCTCCTACAACAGTTTCAGACGGGACCGCGTTACTAGAGGAGGTGGCGTAGCCATATTAGTTAAAAAAACTATCCCATATGTCGTTCTTGAGCAAATAGAAAACCACGAAAGTTTTTGCTGCAAACTAAATTTATGGGGTACTAACGTTGTGATAATTGGTGTCTACAGAGCTCCATCTGCACATTCTGAATTTCTCTATAAGCTATATGATCACCTTAACCACTTTAGAAACCAGAAATTAATAATTGCTGGAGATTTTAATCTCCCAGATGTCGATTGGGCAACTCTAAGTTGTGGTCGGACTAATACGCAAAGTTCAGAAATTCTTCTTGACATGATCCTCGCATATAATCTCACGCAAATTGTAAAACAAGCCACGAGAGTGACTAACGTGTGCAGTTCCATCTTAGATTTGGTTTTTCATAACACTTGCTTTGAAACTA